TAGAAGGAAAGCGAGATATCCATAGTGGTCCTAAGGGGTGCTTTTTATTGCCGCTTTTTATTAGCTGAGTAGGTGTACTCCGTTCCGCCGTTGCCCCTCAACTCTACCCCCGGAGCGCCCCGAGCCACCCTTAGCCACCAACCATCCATCCTCCTCCCCCGTCCCGGTTCCTCCCTCCCCCCCGCCCGCCCCGCCCCCGCCCCTCAGCCGTCGCTTCTCGCGATCCACCGCCTGCGGAGTCGTGCTGGCGTGTGGAGCGCGTCGGAGGGTTGATTAAAACTAACGTTGCGCCAAGAATTACCCTGTGAGATTGAAAATTAAATTAATATACAAAACCCCCGCCCACCCGGGGCTAATTAGTTATATGATAGTAATTAAAAGTTAAGTATATCTTCGTGCGCGGACGTTCTAGCGTACCTCCCGTCGCTCCCGGCTGTCATCCCCAAAACGGCCGTGAGCAATCCTTTAGCCCCGAGTGGATATCGTGCTTAAAAAAAAAGAAAGAAAAAAGGAAAAAAGCGGTGTCGCTCCCGCCGACAAGTCCCTCGGATATCTTTGCGAAAGACGCGCGTCCTGTTACCGTCTGCGTACAGAGGAAAGTCCTCTAATATGAGACAGCAGGCTCCCAATACGCAGATTCGATCGCGAATCTTTCTTCGCCACGATTACACGACAAACAGAGAGGGCGATAAATTCACGGTGGCGTCAACAGACGACGCCCGTTAATTCAACAGGAACCCCGCTATCTCATATTAGGAGCCTATCTCGTAATAGGAAACTTTTCTGTAATTATTAAATCAGCTCCGGCTTCGCTTTTATAGTTTGATACAATTTAAAATTTTACATACTGGCTTACTCAACATCTTGATCTCATATTTTATTTGTCTATTGAACATATTCGTTATTTATTCTCGTTTAATCCTCGTGACTCTGACTTAGGTTTATAGCTACTTATTTATTTGTTTATTTATTGTAACGCTCTCCGTATCTCCTCTACAAGTTAGACTTTAGTCCTATTGTGGTCTTTACATCGGATGGACGTGCCTTCTAGCATATTACAGTTCTCCGAGTGACGCCCAGAGATGGGATGTCAAACTCCTGTGCCTCTTGGCTTAATATCAATGACGTAATATCGTAAGTTTTCGAAAAGAATTTTACTCCGTTCGTATTGACCTGCGTCGATTTCGTTTTGCGGTCAACGTACTTTTGATTTGCAATGTCCTGTGATTAAAACTCGTGGACTATTTTCCTTGAGAAGGACGACAACCCGTACGGTCGGATTTAAATAAAAGAAAAACCATCCGCCAGCCTAAAGTCGTCCAGCAATTCTTTTTATCGCTAACCAACTACTGGCGACTCACATTCTCTCGTTGTTATTACATTAATTTTCACGCGTTCGAATTCACTCGGAATTCGACTTCGAGACGGAGACTTTCGCGGTGCCGATATCGAACAATACGCACGCGACGTACAGAAGCTCTTTCTGCATTACTTTAATTTGCGATTTGCAAAAGTACAGAAAGCCACGTATCCATGCTTACCGTTGTCCGGTGCAATTATTGCTTTCCGCGAGACCGCGCAAATTGGTACAAACAAATGTATTTATTGTCGGATGCGGAAAAAGTAAATGGACACGCACAGATACGCGCGCAGCTGGCGCGGCATTAATTCCCATTTGTTGCGCGCTATCTTTAGACGAGCGATCGGTATCATCGAGCACCTAGTAGAGCAAAAAGACAAATTACCTGGCCGCTGCGCGATCCCGCGCGGCGCGCAACCTTGATACGATAGCGCGCGTAAACGCGCCCTAGTTCCCTGCCAAACTGAAAATAGTCGGCGAACTAATATCGCGACGTTGGAAATATTTTATACCTACATACGTTGCGCGCGGCGCACTCATATTCGAGCAACTTTCCTCGCGAGTTATAACGCGCGCTTTATATCCGCCTTCGAAAATAATTTCGCTAACCGTGATTCCTTGGGGGAGCGCGCGGCGGCGTATCGCAATAACGCCGGGGGAGGGCCGGGGGAGGGGGGGGGAGGGGAAAAAAGGTCTCCGCGACTCCGCGAAAGTCGCGAGCCGATGCGCGCGCGGCCATCGCCGCGGGGATTTAGTATCGCGCCCGTCCCGTTATTTCCCGGCGTGAAAATTTAGTCCGGCCCCCGCTTAACAATTTTCGCGGTTTGGTAATGGACCTGCAGAGAAATTCCTGATATCATCTAAATCCAGGTTAATCCGCGGAATTACAGAATTATGGAGAATTATAGACTAATACTCCTCATTTCTGATTACGCCGGCCATGAGGTTTTAATTGGTTCGATCGGCCGTTCCCGCGTATCTGTCATGAGATAGCATCATGTGAGATGTACAGTACCGTCCAGAAGTCCGTCCAACCTCGGCTGACTATATAGAGCGGTCTTTTATATGCGCGCCGTGTTTACAAATTTCTGGACGATAATGTAATCGACAAACAAGCCTTATCGCAAATGGAGCCCGTGATTTTGGGAGAAATCGGGCGGAGAAAGAGCTCGGCAGATCCGATAAATCCCGCGATAACGCGGATAAATCGCACGGAAAGGCACGTCTGTCGCGTCAATTTGCAGTTAATCTCGCATAACTAATAAAAAGCGCGTGCCAAAGAGCCCCGCAGCCTCGCGTTCGTTTAACGCGCCGCGGTGGCGTCGCGCGTTCCAGATATCCCTCGTGAAGGATTGTGAAGAAACGAAGCTGCTCTCGCGAAACCGTGCGCGATCGAATTAGCCGGAGGAGCCACGTTCGCGGTCGACTCCGTTCTGGGATAAGCTCGAGCCCCTGTCGGAAATTCGTGTTTCGCTAATTAGAATTTAAACCGGCCGGACTCTCGGATCGACAATCAGTGGCGCGACTTGTGCGTCCCCCCAGGAAGTCATGAGGGACGCGACGGCGTCTTCGCAAAGAATATTCGGGTTCGGCTCGAAAGTTGCAAACCGCTTGGCGGCGGGCCAGGGCTCACGTAACTTGTTTTGCCAAAGCTACGCGACGCTCGCCGGCCTTCGCCTTCCGCCGCAACGGCGACGTAGCCAGTCGATTTTCGAAAAAGGTTAACACCTAGTCGTCCAGATCCGACCGCGACGACCACGTGGCAGCGGTCGCGCCTGCGTGTCCCGTTCTCTCTCTCTCTCTCTCTCTTTTACTCGGAAATTTCTTCTCAGTCTTCTCGTAGCTATCGGTCGACGCGATGCTTCCGCCGTGAAAAACGTTTCTGCCTGCGTACAGCGAGCGGAGACAAGCGGAATGCGGACGAGTCGACTCGTCGAGCGAAAACACCCGCGGGAGGAGAGAATCGCAGAATTTGAGATACTGCCGAAAGATCCTGGTGGATCCAAGGGTGGCGCGTCCGGTGGAAATTAAAGACCCGCGAGAATCCAAACGTACCAGCATTTAATGATCGCGAAGGGGATTAATGGCCGAAGAATGGAAACGTGTTTAAAGATCCGAGGAGTTGGAGCACGAAACCGTAAGCTCGCACAGTTGTCACGAATTAGAACTGCGACAAACGCGTGCCACGAACTGTGTTGGACATTAAACCCCTGAGGGTTAACGCCACTCCTGTGAGTACAAACGCGGGAACTTTGGTCGAAGAACGAGAAATATTTTGATTGCTGCTGTGTAAACGAGGACTTCACACGTGGACACTAACCCTTGCCACCGACAAAGACAGACAATATAGGGACAATGTTTTCCCATTTGCAGGTAGACGGCAAGTGTCTCGGAAAAAAGAATCGTAGACGCTATAGATGCGTGCGCGCCACGCGAGCTTTACGAGGGGGGGAAAAAAAAAGGATCTCCGATCGAAAAATATGATCTCGCGTTTCCGACGGACCTTTTTGGAAACTGAAACTTATATTTGCAATGAATAGTTTAATTTTTAAACACATATTTGCCACGAAACATGAAATGTTTAACTACGGCATATGTAAATAAATGAGATTCGGATCGAATCGTATAAGAGCGATTTTTAATTTATATATATTGTACGAACAAATTTAATAAAATGTGAATTTATATTCGCGCAGAAGCGAATAATTTTTTAATTTATATTATCTGCAAAGCTTTTAATATTTAATTAATAAACGCATGAATAAGTAAAATCTGAATTCATGTGACCGGCCCATTAATTTTTCATTTATATATTTTCCAGTAAATAGAGACGGTGCTTACATTTGCAATGGATATTTTAATTTTTAAATACGTTAGAAATTTATGAATATCAGTAAAATTTATATGTGCAGTGTGCACAAGTTTTAATATATACGCAAATAAATAAAGACCGGGGAAAGGTGCAGGGAAGACGAGAGGTGTCCTTAATTCCTTATCCCTACGGTTAAACGAGCGCGACGTTTATTCATTCCGACGAGTGGTTAATCGGTCAACATCTTCCCCGGCCGCGCCGAGAGACGAATCTCGCCTAAAAGGGGTCCCAGAAGTCTTGGCGTCTGAGGTTTCATACCTACGGAACGATCGGTTTCTCCGTAACGCAATCGACAGATCGCCTACAGGAATCGGATCATCGAGTCGGGGCGAGAGTTACGCGCGCTTATCGGCTACGTCAATCTTCCACGAAGTGATAAAAAGCCAAGCTATCGCGAGCATACACACTTACCACGATCGCCGGCATGCGTAGGCTGTTGAGCGCTGATCGTACCGCTAGATCCTCGGCTAGATCGCGAACCAGCACTCTTTCTCACTTTCAGACGACGAGGACGACGATTCGACGCCGCGAGTCTCGTGGATTTCCTCACAACTCTTTCTCTCTTCCTCTATCTCTCTTCCCCTTCCCTCTCTCGCTCTCCCCCTCTCTCTCTCTCTCTCTGCTCCTCACACACGGCACACACAGGCGGTCCTCACGGCGCGCCGCGCAGCGACGCAGCGACGCGCGACGGCATCGCGAGCAGGTGTCCACGGGACGAGTCCTCGTGCCTCGCGCCCGCGAGGATCCTTCGTCCTGTCCTCCTCCTCGGGCTATCGATCTCGGGAACGCACGCACGTCGCGCTGCTCGTCGACCACCGCGAGCGCGCCCGCCAATGCTCCAGGCGTCCGCTTTCTCGGTCTCGGACGCGCGCTCCGCTCCCGAGGTTCACTCTCGATCAATGGGACGGCGCGAGTCCGTGCGCTTCTCCCGTACGGCGTCGATCCATGGAAAGATCGTGCGTGACTGATCCGCGCCTGTAATCGACGACGATCACATTATACGGGCAAAAGTCTCTCCTGTTACCTTCTAGTCGAGGTAACGCGCGAGGATCGCGACCAGTGTCCAAGACGGCTCCTCTCCGCGCCAGTGTCGTGAAACATGAGGTGGATCGCGCGATCGCTCTCGGACTCGTTGCGCTCGGACACCTTCCTCCTCCCCCCCCTCCCCCGGCTGATTTACTACGTTCTTAGATCAGCACTCGGAACTGTGCTCGCGTCGACGTCGGTGCCGGGTCGACTGAAGCGATCCCCGAATCTCTCCTCGATCGCGGACAACACATTTCGGCACTCGGAGCACACCCCCCCCTCCCCCGCGAGAGCCGGACCGACCGAAACGCGATTGGATCACTGAGAGGGAACGTAGCGCGATCGCGCGCCGAGTCGACTCTCGGACCGACACTTTGGACCGTGCTCCGAAAAGGCGAGCGGGCGCCGCGTGCACGCGGCGCGGCACGGAGAACGCGAGGGAGAGCCCGTGTGCTCTCTCTCAGCGGGGCTCGGTGTGACTCTCGCCGCGACACATTCCGCGAACTGCACTGGGACCTGGCCGCGACTTTTAATCCCGCGGACCCTCGCTCCGTCTACTCGCGCACGCGGGCGCTCAAGTCAAGGTGAACCGGAACACCGGGAAGGAGGGGGGGGGGAGGGAGACACACGAGGGGCACACGTCGCGGGGAAGCGCACCGCGCGACACGCAGAAAGCGGAGCGGCCGACAGACCGATTCGCGCTGCACCAAGTCGGACGTACGAGTGGCGGCCGGAGGAGCCGCCGCGTCGTCGGCTTTCCCCCACCACGCGGCGCGCATCAAAGTAGCGGGGCGAGCAGGGGAGAGCGCGAGTGAGAGCGCGAGGGAGCGCGAGCGCGCGGCGCGCGCGGTGAGGACGAGGACCGGGCGCGGGAGGGATGGCGCGCGGTCTTCGGAACCGCAGCGGTAGAGGGAGCGGTGGATAGATGGACGTCAGGGGCGTGAGTGAAGGAGGGGCATCGATACCGGTCCCTCCACGCCGCGGGGCCCCTTCCCCCCCGGCCAGAGGCGCCCCTCCGCGCCGCGGCGCGCGCTCCACGCGACTTTGCGAGTGAAACATTTCGCGGGTTTTGTGGACTGTCGAGAGGGGTAGGTGGAGGGAAAGAGGGACTAAGGGGCGCGAGGGGCCGAGAGGCGGAGGGAGGGAGAGAGAACGAGAGGGAGAGAGAAAGAGGAGCGAGTGGAAGAGAGGATTGGGTGGGAAGACAACAGTATTCCCGTTAATTGAACGACTCGCGCGGGGCGGAGGAGCTCGTCGCGGGGAAGCAGAGGGGAGGATTACTTGCAGTAATTACTTATTTTTATTACGCTCCGCCTCGTCGTGTCTCGCGCCAGCGAACGGCCGCGCTCTCGCAGCGACATGTTAGAAATCTTTTCTCGCGTCCGCGATATTGCGAGACGATGGGCTACGTACCGGAAACCCGCCTCGGGTCTCCCCTAAGCATCTTAACGTTAAATTAAGGTGAGAGCAAGAAAGAGAGAGAGAGAGGGGGGAGGGGGAGAAAGACGGGGAGGGAAAAAAGGTGAGAGACAGTGTCTACAATGTCGCGCTCTTCGTAATTTCATTCAAGCTTATAGCGAGAATATAATATAATTCCGAATACTTGGCAAATGTGCACGCGTACGCGAACGACGCCCCCTCCGTTCGCCGGCTGCGAAAGCAAGTCAATTGTTTAACGTTGCTTTGTTGAAAAATTGGATCTTTATTTTCGTCGAGCCGAGAGCAGCGCGACTAACCCGCGCGACTATGGGCATTCCCTAATCGGGCCAACCGGATACTTGAGGCCATCCAACGGGTGAACGAACCGGTAAGGAACTGGATAAAACCGTTTCGGATCGACGGTAAGTCGGTATGCGATCGGCGTCAGTTTTTCGAGCGATTACGTCGGAACACGTCGAGTCATTATCTTCGTTCTTTCATATACTTTTTTTCTTATCTGCTGCCGAACCAGGTCGACTTATAAAGCCAATTTACATACGCGATATGCATTTTCAATATTAACTCCGTTTCCTCGTCCGAATCAGTTTTCCATTTAATGACCGCTTCAGCCTTGAAATGCGTTAAAAGTACAATAAACATTAGAGCGTAGTGACACTAACTACGCTATCGATAGTCGTGTAATCTCCGTGCACGTGTGCGTGCATATGTATGAAGCGATACGAATAATACTTGTATCTTGTTGCGAGTTGATATGTTAATTCGCCGAATACGTAACACGGATCGATTGTAGCAGCAATTACTTTCAAACGTAAATTCAAACATGACGCGTTTAATACGTATACGCAAAACAGATCCTGTGCGCTCTAGGATTAAATTTCAAAAGTAGAAATGGGTAAATAGCCCTCCCGAGTTTCAACCAAACGGCTCGCTCCGGTCCTCCGCAGTGTTCACGGTTGCCGGACCAGAGTGCACTTGTCAAAACTTTTATCTTAGCTCGCATCTAGCGGCGGGAGAAAAACACGGAACGGAGGTGAGGACAATGGCTGGTCCTGCGGACGGTCCTGTCGGAGGAGGGTGAGGAAAAAAGGGGGGGGGGAGGGGGAGGAAAAAAAGAAAAATCAGCCGACAGAGGTCTCGGATAATTGCGGCGGATAGTTCGGAAAGGCGCCGACTGGCCCTCCTTGGCACGCCTGTCAGAAGATATTAGGATTTCTATCGCGGATCCTGCCGTCCGCAGGACTCGTTAACGGATCTTAGGATTGTTCCTTTCGTAATCCAATAAGGATGAGATTCTACGCCGCGACGGTTTTTTTCCCCTTCCAGCCCGTTTGAAGAAACCGCCGATCGGCGAGCGGAGTCGCGGCTCCGCAAGCCTTCGAGCGAACGAGCCCGCGGCTAATTATGAAAATTAAATTACTTCCATTTAGACCGCGTCTCGATGCCTCGCGACAAAATATGACTCGCGCACGAAAGAACCCGGATCGTCCAATCTCGTGTTCCGAAACAAGGCAGAGATATCATATCGCGACTCGTGACGCCCGCAGGTATATGTCCTGCGGTCACGTGGCGGTGACCTTAGCTCGTTTCTGCTCTAGGGTGGTCGGCCCTTTGGACAGGTCAGTTCGGGATTCGGAAGCTGCATTGGGGCGGGGCGGACGTCAGATGGAAAGCAGTTCTAATTTGATACCAAGTCGGGAGGAGGCCAAACAAACAGCTACATCCGATAGGCTTCCAACTGACATATCAGCCGGAAGTTTTGACGAGAATTACTATGCCGTTATCATCGTAGCGTATACACAGGAATTATCGTGTCCGCGATATTTCGCTAAAGAGTCTCGAACCTACATTTTCAATTTCTATTATTCCATAACATAAATTCTTCTAAGTCCAGCGTCGTGTAAATTTCTAAAAATTTCGACGTTCATGTTGCGAAGGGTAAATTTTAACTAACGGTAAACGGTAAACGGCACATAATGAACCGATGTGCTCGCCGTCTCGCATTATCACGTTCCCTTGCGGGAGAAGGCTTCGAAGCTTCTCAGAGGCCTCGTCGATTCTCGCGGGCGACTCTTGCTCGACCTTTTTTCCGCAAACTTCCGAAGGTCATTACGAGGTTCCCGAGAACGCTCGGGACTCGTAAAGCCCCGTCGTAAAAATCGCCAAAATACACGCACCTTACATGGTAGCTTCGTGTAGGCGGGTGTCATATCCCCGCAAAATCATTGCCACTAAAAATCAGGGGTTTCCGCAGCAAATTTATAACGGTCGTCCAACGGACGGCATCGTGT